GAATATCCTGAGGGCACATTTAAGTCGACGTGAGATTAAAACGCATAGAAAAAGTGGCGACTCTTTTCCCAACCAGGAAGTCGATGGGGGCTGCCATGTTTGTTTTGACTGAGACACACAGGTGCATCTTGGGATATGAAGCTTTGGCATTGCTGTCCTTTCTCCTTCTGTTTCTACAATTCTACAATTCACTGAGCAGACTCTTTTATCCAAAGTGACGTACATCAGAGAGTAAGTACAACACAAGCAAGGATCTAGAAAAAAGAGAACAATGTCAGTAAGAGCAAACGATCAGCTTTGAGTCTGATTGGACACACAGGTGCTGACAGGAAGTGACCAGAGGCAAAGCACAACATTGAGGGCAGTTCTTGAGAGCTCTAATCAGTATAGAAACCATCTTATAAGTCGTCTTTATCAAACAAAAACCATCGTCATTACCATCATCATCATCAATAATATGGAGACCATCATCATTAAGTTAGTAGGTATTCATGAAAGAGCTGGGTCTTTAGCTTTTTCTTAAAGGTGCAGAGGGACTCTGCAGATCACATGGAGTTTGGAAGTTCATTCCACCACCGGGGGGCGACAGAGGAGAAGAGTCTAGTCGGCGTCTTAGGACCCTGTTGTGAAGGTTGGATCAGACGCCTTTCATTGGCAGAGCGTAGAGGGAGGGAGTGTAGACCTGGATCAGAGAGTTAAAGTAAGGACGAGACGTTTTTGAGCAGCAGAGTTTTAAATTTGATGCGAGCAGTAACTGGGAGCCAGTGTGAGGAGATGAACAGCGGAGTGACATGTGCTCTTTCAGGAAGGTTGAACAGTAATTACACAAGGAAAGGTGTAACATTATTATCTTGTCTGTGCACTTTGTTAATGATATTATTTCTTTCATTGTGTTTCAAAGCTGTGCTGCTTTATATTTGTACCATATCTAACTTTCTTATTATTCTATGGAAACTTACCTTCAAGTGCACAGACAAGATAAACATATTACACCTTTCCTTGTGTAATTACTATTTTATGACACACCCTGCTTTATTTGATGGACCTGCTACTTATCCTCTTGTATTCTCAATATATTTTATAATTTTGTTTGTAAACTTAAAACAGTTTAGATAACTATTTCATATTTTAAAGGCTATAGCGAATACATCTTACATGTCACAGTGACAGATTATCATTTCCAGAAAGTTATAGGGTTATGGGCAAACTGGAGATCAATTGTTTGGGAAACAACAGAACTTGGACAATCAGCTTTTTCTTATTGTGCACCGGCCTCTCTTGGAATAAGATACAACATCTTCACCTTTTGGGCTTTTTTAGAAACCCTGATTTTAAACCTCCCAACCTCTGTTTGTGAATGTTTAATTTTATTTATCGAATTATTTTTTGAGCTCGCTGATGTATTTTAGTACATTTCGACTTTTTCTTTCACTCTAGTGCTTACTTATTGTCTTAGCTTCTTAGAAAACCCCAGTTTGTTGGTTTTAGGAGTCTTATCTGTGAATTTAATGATTTGTTGTCCGTCTTTTAATTGATTCTGCAATTACTCGATAAATGAGTTGTTGCCCCTCAATGATCTCCCGAGTAGAAATAAAGGTTGAATGAATGTGTCACTGTTGTGCTGCAGGTGTAAACAAAGTTGTGGACAACATCTGCAAGCTTTCTCCAGATCTGTTGACTGAAGCAGTGAGTATTTTTTAATGTCTAGTTTTACTTATCATCACCATGCAACAACATATTACATGTTGCATTTTCATTTAAATGAGTCACAAAGCATTCAGCTGAGGTCGAATGGATAGTAATTAAGCTCTAATATAAAAGTTCTTAGAGGAGAAGCAGCACATACATGTTGTCCAGCAGTAGTATGAAGTTGTTGTTTCAGAAAGCTCTCATGAGTATGAACCATTGGCTCATAAATCAAATGTATCAGAGCTTATTGTAGGTCTATTAGCAGCTGTGCTCTGCACCAGTCACAGAGGATGTGGTTCTATCTGCCATTAAGTTATTCTGTAAATCTCACAATCAATCTTCTAATCTCCACAGTGTCAACACATTCTCACTTATCTACAAGGCCACACGAGAGGAGTGGATTCAGCTGAAATATCGGATGTGAGTCAAAGTGTCTTCAAAATATTATTTAGCGCATAGTAACCCATGCTCACGAGTTCCTCTTTCTTTGTTTGTTTTGTTTGTTTTGTTTGCTCTTCTTGGCAGAGATTTCAAAAAGCCGGAGTCAGTCTTGAACATGACGCTCTACAGAACATGATCAGATATCTCTTGTTAACTTTCAGGTATCAAATCCCAATCTTTATGTTGCCTCAGAATAAAAAAAAACAAACATGCTGATTGATGTAGACTCTGCAGGATGATATTTACATATCTATTCAAAATATCAATATCAATATCTAATCTAAAACCTAAAATGAGAATTTCAAGTTATGTGATTTAGTTCAAACAGCAGCTGCTCTGGATGATTATCAGTATAGAAAAAGATAAACCGTACTTTTAAAATAAAAAAAGGATGTTATGATACTGTAAGTTAACATTTGCGTCACCAGGTCAGCTGGGAAGAGCAACGTCTCTGGGGATGACCTCGTGTCGCGGCTGGAGGAGAGCAGTATCAAGTGGCCCAAAGCTTCTCTTCAGGCGCTGCACAAGCTGTGGAGCGAACACGGAGCATCGGTCCATGCTCAGCAGGAAGTCCATTCCATGCTCAGTATCAGCCAGGTATGTCAGAAAGTAAAGCGCTATGACAGTCTTGTAATTTCCGATGGCTTAATGGCAGAATATGTCTATTTACAAGGCTTAAAAAGACCCATCTTGTTTGTGTTTTTCTTCTGTATTTTCCAGTTGGTGGACATGGAGTGGAAGCTCGGCATGGCGGTGAGCTCGGACACCTGCCGATCTCTAAACTCCCCGTACGTGTCTCTGCTGCTGAAGATCGTCGAGCCCTCGGGTCAGGTCACTCACAGGTCTTTTGAGATGACCATTCCACAGTTCCAGGTCTGTAGGACTTCATGCCAATGCAATGTTTCGGTATAATTCAAAACTGGGTTTGATTTTAAGATTGTTTTTTGTCCTTTTGCAGAACTTTCACAAGCAGTTCAAGGAGATGGCAGCTGTTATGGAGACTGTGTGATGGTTGTGAACACACATAAAGTGTTTGACGCAGTCACATTGAAGTTTACATATCAGAAAAACCGCTTGACATGAGCGTCCGACCACCGCTTGTCTCAAGATCCCTTTGCACTTCTCAAACGGTCACACGTTGAATAATCTCCTAAACGATTCAGCTGGTTAAATAGTTGAAAACGCCTTAACGTTCTTTGCTAAAAATGTAAGTGTACCTCCTCCTAACGGCTCGTCCAGCTATCTGTTAAGCCAAACTAAGACAGTATAAAAAAAAAAGATGTGTGATGTGATTGAGCTTTATTGCAGTATACAGAGAAGGGTTTCTGGGTTCATGTCAGGTGTGAAACACCTTCCAGTGAGACACGATGCTCATCAAGACAGTTTCTATCACATTCAACATTTATTATGGGATTTATCTTGTGACTGTATCAGAGCAGCTTTGCTTTAAGCTTGTGTTAATAATAATATTGCATGTGTTATATATATATATATATATATATATATATATATATATATCTCAACAATGCTTATACTGTAACTCTCTAATTGTGCCAAATTTGTTACACAATGTCAAACACCGACGAGGTTTAGATGAACTAAAACTGCACTAAACTTAAGTATGCCTCCATGTTTGTACTAACTAAGACTTAGAAATATTGAATTCTGTTGTTTATTTAGCTTATTTTAGCCTTTTTACAGGATGTGATGAATCCACTTTACAGCATCCTGTTAGCTGTATAGTTTCAGTTTGAGGTTTTTTTCTCTTGTCTTTGTGATTTTTGTCAATGTTTAAATTATAAAGTCTTTCTCTTCCTGTTTGTTTTTCCTTTGTGCTGCTAAAAAACATTCTGTGTGCTTTTCTTTCTACTGTGGTCAATAACTAACTGAAGTAATGCAATAAACAATTTTTTCAAAGTTCTGAATCGTTGTTGCTGAATTTTATTTTATTCCAACTTCACAGCTCAGTGAAGATGAAACGGTCAGAAACTGAATGTGAATATGAATTAATATTATACAGTCTTGTCATCGCTTTAATTATTTGTAATTAGGTTGAAAACACCGAGAAATAATTCTGACCTACTTTGTTCATTGTCTAACGGAGATTCACATTTAGAAGTTTGAGGCTCTCTGTAGGCATCTTGGCACAGAGTTCAAAGAATCTGCACCAAATACATGGATCCTTCAACTATAAACAGATTATGCTTATGGAATTTTCAAAACAGCATCAACACTCAAACACATATTTGCATTACATTTGGGTGTGTTGTAGGGATGAGATGGATTGCCCCTCCAACATGAAAGTCTAAAGTTAAAACATGTTCACCCTGCAGAGTCTTCAGCAGTGCTGTGGGACTCGCAGAGCTTTTAAGGCCCCCTGTCTTGGTGATGAGGTTATTTATGGCACAGCTGCTATTTTGGGAGAAGTGGATGAGTTTAAATTATGGCACTGGGAGGATGGGAACTTGAGTACATCCAAGCATAACAGATTTGATTACAGATATGATTCAGCACAGGCTGTAGGTAAACACATTGAAGGATTGCGTTTGGTTTACTGCAAACATTCAGTATTTGAATAAGTCTGACCCCTGATTGTTTCTTTTTTTTTTTTTTTTTACCAATGATGGCGAACAGGAAGGATTACAACACACAAAATGTTTTAGCCCCAAGGAAGTAGTAGCCTACCATGGGGGCTGCAAACACGCTCCACTCTTACCACGAGGAGGCTTTTCCAGTTATGTTGTTCTGTAAAGAAAGGTGGAGCTCACGTCTGTCACGTTTCAAACAGCGGCTGTGCCCTACCCACTCCTCCAGCACATGGGAAGGTTGGGGCGGGTCGTCGACGCGCACACAGCCGCTCCGCCCTCCAAGGCGTTGGGGGAAGAAAGGGATCACAGTAGATGTTAGGCTGCATTTAAAGACGATGCAATCAGTAGTATTTGTAGTTTAAAGAACGAAGGAAAAGAATGCGAAAGCTTGGAGCAGGATTTTTGCGCGTGGTTCTGTATTCATGCGCTGCTGAGAGCCACCGGAGCGAGAAATCAGATTCCTCTGAGCGAATTGTGTTTACACGGGAGTCATCCAGAGCCACGTTTTAGCAAGCAAGCCTGACTGGGGTAGTACAGTGCAGGACTGTTCGGGGATCTGACTCCCTGCCTATGCAAACAGTGGAGGAACAAGGTAGAAAAAAAAAAGGTTACATATCCTAGTCCCTGAAGGTGTCCGGTGGAGATATTTTGGAGAGATTGGGAACATGGAAGCGCAGCAGCTGAAACGAGCACATGTTGTGCACGTAGGGTAACGCTTCAGTTGATAAACTTTCATGATGTGTTGTGGTGTTGGAAGTGTTTCTATCTAGCTACAACTGCGCCTTGCACTTGGATGTAGGAAATGGTACATTGGCATCTTTTTCTTTTTTTACATTAGTTTTTTAAGTTCCCCATCAGCTGTCAACGAGGTGAAAGTCAGCTGGGTCTGCGATCATGGAGAGTCAGGATGAGAGGGAGAGCAGCCCTCCGAAGTCAGACCGGAGGTTCTCCCTGACTTACATCGGAGGCTGCTCGCTCGACAGGCGGACCACCCTGCCCATGATGCCCTGGCTGGTGGCAGAGATCCGGCGGAGGAGCGAGAGGGGTGACTGCGGCCCCGTGGTGCAGCCCAGGGAAGTCCAGTTGGTCCTCAACCCCCCCTTCGTCCGGTGCGTCCCCTCCAGCAGCAACAACTGCTCCGTGTTTATATTCGAGCACAAGGCGCAGCTCATCTCTCGCTTCATCCACAACAGCAATGACCTCAAGTACTTTTCCTATCTGCTGCGGGGACAGCCGGACAACCCCGAGTCCGAGATGTCCTGTCACGTCTTCAAGGCCTGCGACCCAAAGCAGGTAGGCCCGTCCAGGTGTCACTCACACCTTAACGCACACACACACACACACACACAGGAGCAGCAAAACCAGGAATACGTGAAGAATACACCTGATAGAAAGACAGAACATGCAAAATATGCATTATTTTTCAAATACTACACAATATGTATGTAGGCTAGTAAATTGACTTATGGAGACATAAAATATTTTTATTGACCCATAGCTTAGAATCAAAAGTTCCAAAACAATGCCCCACCTTTGTTATGTGTTAATAATGTGCCAGTCCTGATGATGTCAAGATTTAAAGGGAAGCCCTACATTTTTAATATATTTTTTTCCGATACTGATACCATTATTGTTGTGTATGTAAAGTGGTATCTTTTATCTAAGAGTGTGTCAAAGATCTATTTCAGAAACAGACTACCCTAACCCTAACCCACTGATATTATGAATATATATTTTAATATGACTAGAATAGAAGGGATTCTTTGTATCAGTAAATACTTATGTCTAGGTACTCTCTGTATCGTATTTAGAAGAGAATAATGGTAGTCTATTGGAACATCTGTAATCCATACCTTTATATTATGTGTGTAAAATGTGCCAAAGGGGTTAAATTCAAACCCCCAAGAGTCCTTAAATCAAGTACAGTATAAACCCAAGACAAAGGAATAGCCCAGAAAGCCTGATTTAAAATCTCCTTGAAGTGACAACAATGTCATAGAGTAGATTAGTGAATGATCCAAACACTTTTTTGCTTTGGTATTAAGTATTTAGGCCACCAGTCGGTGAGAATGATAAACAAATCTCTCTGGATATTTGGCAAAGTTAATCCCACTCTGCCTGTGTTTCCCTCCCGGGGGTCAGACATCCCTGTAGTGTGACAACAACTATCGAGTCAGCACATTCAAACGCTGATCAGCTGCCACTCTTGAGTAATAAAGGGCCAAATGTGGCGCAAAATCAGGAACATGGGAGTTTGAAAGTCAATGTGCAGCCCTTTGTTGAAATACAGTTTAAGTCATTGTGTGTGTGTGTGCTTGAAGGGAGTGATAGTAAGCAGAATTGCTCCATCATTTTTAAATACAAAACATCAGTATGTATTGATTTAGAAAAGACTCAATGAAGTTTTTGTCATTTTAAACATTTGTAACTGATTGTGTCAAATGGGATGATTACGTCATCTCAAGTTGACGGCAGGTCCCTTAATTTAATTAAATCAAAATCATACCAGACTGCGCTTTATCAGTAAATGTGCTTTGTTTTTATATAGTATATATAATGACATTTAAGATTTACACGCGTGTTTTGGTGGAGGACTTGACCTGCTGTAATCCAAGCTGAAATCTCACTCTTTTTCCTGTTTACCCAGTCAACAAGGCAACCCCTCACACGTCACGTTCACAAACACATATCCAGTGAAAGGCTCACGTTTTGCATTGATTTTCAAATATGCCCATGGTGTATCGTGTTTCCTGTGTGGTATGTGCGGAGCCTGAGCCGGCTGTTTGTCTGCTGCTGAAAGCTGAGAAGAGAGGAGGCATCGAACGCTTTCCAGGGTGTCTTCCCTCTCTCAGTTGCAAGTGTATGCAGCAGCAGTTTGTTAGAAAGGCATCCTGGAACATACCTCTCCAAGTAACGATTACGCAACGAAAACTGGTTTGGCAGCCAGCAAGCTAGCAACTTGTGCAAGGTGGACCATGAGGAGAGCCTGGTACACCAGTACACTGCTGCTGCAGTGATTGTGAATGTTTAGATTATTTGCCAGGTTGCATTCTCATTGTGAAACATGATTACTCCTTGTTTTGTTATGTGAGTGACAGACCTATTCTTGGAGAAATATCAAGCTTATAGTGCGTAAATACTAATGAAAGGCCCCCTGGCATCTATCAATATGATGTGAAGGGTTGAAACAAACTGACAGTTAAGTTGTCCTTAGGTGCAATTAACATTAGTTGACAAGAATTGTTTGTAATTTTTTTTTTGTGAGATTTTGTATGCATAGAAAAGAAGCTGGACTTGAATTGATGCCAACAAAGCGTTGTCCAAAGATAAAATGGAATGTCGCATTGTGTGCACTCCTTCGTTTAAAAGGTCGGGTGCTGCAAATCAAGTCAGACTTGAAATGCAACTGTAGCCCTTTTTTTATGTATTATAAAAAGTTTTTGAAACAGCTGTAATCTACTTTGCATAAAAAAGGTGCAACCATTTGAGCTTGTATGGCCAACTCCACTGTATCTCTACTCCTGATTGGCGTATCCATGACTGTGTGAAACATTTTGCACGAATAATATCAAAGTTAGGATGGAAAACACTTAAATGTTCTTTAATGTACTTGCTCGGGATGTTGGTTACTTATTTATAACCAAAGTGAGACAAAAATGTTACACTTGACTCAGTTGAGCTAATTCACGCATGGCCCACCTTAATGTCATACCGTTGTACAAAGATGAAGCCAAAATCCAGTAACGGTCACTGACTTATTGCCCATTTGGAGCCAGAGTCTGGGCAGTAGAGATGGGCTAGAACCATGGACGTCATGCCATTTCTGCAAACAAAAACTCACATTTAACTCACTGATAAAGAAGCAAAGAGCCCCTCGGGTTGATACACTTCACAGCAGAACAGGTTCTTATGTAATGTAGACATCTCATTTAGTAGACACTGGAAGTTAAATGCCTTGTGTAATAGTGTTAGCGATACATTTCCTTTTACCGATCCTCCTCTACTCTGCTAATCTGATGCACACAGTGCAGCGGGAGCCCACTCAGCCAACAGGCTTGTCAATTATTGCATTTTGTCTGTTAACATGGAGGATGTGGAATTAATGACTTGTACTTGTCAGTAGTGGGAGCTTTAAATCATTTGGCTTCACTTGAGGCAAGGTGCTACAATGTCCATTTTTATACAGTATATGATTTTGACGCAGCTATCAATTAACAAAGATCAAGTGTGTGTGAGCTTGCTTTCTTTTTTTTAATCTGAAATATGGAGCGATGTTTTTCCTGATTTTCATTATCTGTTGACTTTCAGGTTCTGATCAAGATTTGTCAGATAACCTACATGTTTTTAAGCGTACAACCTAGACAGTTTAACTTTAGTAGGAACTGAGCTTCCCACCCTGAACGAGACATCAGGTGAAAAATTGCTGCCTTGTAAATAAGGGGGAATCATGCTGTGATCAAACCAGTAAGAGACAGTTGGGCTCTGCACAGCATAAGCCACAGGTCTGTGTGTTTTCCACCTCTGCTCTGACTTGGAACTGGACCAGAAAGGAATTTCTCACTGACAATTGGTGACCATCAGCTGCTTGTTGGTTGCCCTACATCATGCAGTTCTAAGTTCATGCAGGCTGCACTCATAAGCCAAGTCAAGGCAAGACTTACAGCTGACTGTGCTTTAAAAGTCAGAATCAGCAGTTTGCAGAACTCAAAATCTGCATCAAACAAGTCGCGAATAAAAGTTAAATTGTCTTGGCTGGGGTGCAAGAATTTATTGATAGAGTTGAATATTTGGAACGATTCAGCTTTTTCAGATTCTATATATCAGTTCTCAAAAACCCTGTATCAATCTTTAATTGATTTTTTTGTTATAATGATATAGGCCACTTAAAGTACTGCTCTGTCTTTGATGTTTCAAATACTGTGAAAACTACAAATGCAGACATCACTGTTTTAATTACCTAAAGGATTTTTTTTTAAATCCTGAAGTATATGTAGATGATGGTTTATGTTCTTTAAACTACCAGATGCCAGTTTTCCTTACATATATAGCCTTGCTTGTGATATCACAAAACATTGAAATAGACAGAATTGAATCCTCTGTGTTGTAAGGTTGTTTGATACTTGGATACATTCATTACACCATGTTTAAAATGATAAAAATCTCCACTTATTTTAATAGTTTAAGTGTTTAAAAAATACTTGAGATCTTCTGTCACATTTCTAACCAAAGAGAAGAAAAGAAAGGGAAGTTTTGTCAAACTTAAGGGTAATAAAGGTATATTTCCATCCGTTTAATATGATTTTTTTCACTATGTGTTCATGAGAGTTGTTGATAAGCTTGTTGAGACACACTTGAGCCAGCTTTTCTAAGCCAGGGTAGGTGAGGTTGCTGTAGACATGATCATATTTCTCTTAGAATGAGGAACTCAAGGCCATATATTCTTAGTTACCTGGATGTCATGAGAGGTGGTAAAATGTATCATCTGCTCTGTCAAGCAAGGACAAAGCATATTGTTAGAGTAGCTTTACATGGTTGACAACACACCCTATGACTCCTAATAACTTCACAACTAAAATAGAATCCTTCGTTTTCCATCGTTTTGCTAGCATACGAAAAAATGATCTCCTAAGGAAAATTGCAAAACAGCCCCTCCATGTTACTGGAATCCTGACATACTGATTTTCAGTTCATGACATGAGCTGCTTGCCTCATGTAGCGATGGAAGAGGACCCTTGTCTTGCTTTGTTCTGAGTTGGGACATGAACTGTGTTTAACTACCGTGCCCAGTTGGTCCTCGTGCAGACAGACTAGCACCAGGAAGACGTCACAGCTGTACTCAAACATGTGACAACAGCGAGAGTCTTACCCAGGTTTATGCTTAAACTAATAAGAAACCTTTTTTTTTTTTTTTTTCCAAGTGTGTTAAATTGAAGTCATTTAAGTTTCACGTTTGAAAAATATAAGCGCCAATTCTTCTTCTGTCTCCCCTTGCTTGCTTACATCATTATCTTGTGCTTCCACAGTGATAACCTGTGTGTCTCTGAAAGAAGTCTAATGAGGCCTGATCGTGGGGGCTGTGAGTGAATGTGTTGGGCTTTCACTGCTTCTCAATGGTGCTGATAGTGGAAACCTGCCTGCTTCTGTTTGACCAGCTATTATGAAGGCCTGTTGTAGGGAGGTCTGACATTACATGAGCCATGCATGCATTGAGCGTGCTCAGGACTCGGCCAGCTCAGGGAGGACAATTCTCATGTTTGTTTTGCCCTAAGCTGTAAAGCTGTGCTCTGCTGCTTTGTGGAGACAGGCTTTAGATCCCCACTATTGTCGCTGATATTGTTTAATAAAGCAGGACACAGATGGCTGAAGGTTAGATGGACACCAGCTTTGAAAAAAAAAAAAAATATTGGATTACATTTTTGGGAAGATTTCCAGTGGAAAAAGACACAGCCTTCCTCTGTTCCCCCGGAGCTTTCTGCCTGTCTGTGCCTGTCTTGATCCAAGGAATGAGCACCTTTAGTGGCTCTGCTTTGGGTTTACTACAAATTATTAATCAGATCAAAGGTGCTGTGGCATCATCTTGCTCATGTATTATCCAGAAGCTCCTTTAAATGCCAAGACGACGCTGTTATCTTTTTCCTCTGTGACAAAGGTGTGCAGATCCAAAGACCAGATGGTGAGGTTGTGATTCTCAAGGCTATTAAGTTCCCCTGACCTCATAGTGTCAGCCCTGCTTTTACCAAAAACCCCCACACACACACACACACAAATGTAAAAGGTGTAATCTCTCATATTGCTTTTTTTTTATACGTTTCAAGTTATGATTTGCCAGTATTCTCGTTGACATTCACACAGCACTAGAGTTAGGACGAGGCTCCACTTTTCATATGAACGGTCCCAGCCTATGTCCTGCTCTGAAGTCTTTCAAACCTTACATTACATTATATATTTAACAGGTAACATCGTCTAAAACCAATCCCACAGCTAACATGCTAATTAGCCCTCCTTGTTCTATTAGGTTGCTAACATTGGTTAGCTAATGTTATAATAGAAATAGAAAGCTAGTTTCAGTGACTTTATAATCACAGGAAATAAAAATCAATTTAAAAAAAATAAATATTTGAATGTAAATCACCTCTCTACCAGTATCTAAATGCAGGATTTCTGTAGTCAAAGACAAATCAGTATTTTGCACATTTTTTTTACTTTGTCATCAATATTAATTCAATGAGCGGTAAACTTCTTCTTGAGTGATGTTGGTATTGGTCTCTTCGGTTGATTTGATGTTCTCGTAACTCAAGTTGCTGCTATACTTTCCATCCACATAGCACTTAGTGGATGCAACAGTGGGATTTGTAGTTTTTATTTGGTATTGTAAATGACCGGATTGTGTCTTGGCTAGCTAATATGAGTTAGCAAAGACGAATTAACCTTTGGAAACTCGGCACAGTATAATTCAGAAATTTAAAATGATAAGAGAGTTATGCATTTTTATATGGCTTACTTTAGCTCGCTAGAGTTACATCTTTAACCTACAGCTTTCCTGCAGCTGACACAACGCTATTGAGCATGAGGACTAAAGCTGTTATAATAATAAGAGTAAGGACATGACTTGAAATGTTGACTCTACCTAACTTTAGATCAATCTAGAAACGAGCAAAGAGATCGGGTGAGGTGGGTCCTCCTCCGCTAATGAGCTACTATGCTGTACAATTGTAACAATAAAGAAATACTCAGTTTTAACCGTCTTTTGAACCAGGCTGTGAAAAAATGTATTTCTGCTGTAAAAAAAACTGCATTTTAAAAATGGGACCTAAAGGGGTTCCCTCGGTATTTTTCAATACCAGTGGCTGCAAATTTGTTATGACACAATTCTTCCTGTCATAAAAATGGGAAATATTATTATTATTCATAGTTAAAGGTAAAAAAAAACAATGTGATTTTTCTCAATCAAAGTGTTGTTTCTACCTGTTTTTGGGTAGTCCAGGCCTAATTAGGGAGATGAATTCCCCATTTCTCATCATGATTCAGTGTGCCTTCTTTTATAGCTACTGGGCTCTGCCGCAAGTTTGCTGTTAAACATTCTTTTAAAGGCCTTGAAAGCGGCAGAAAACAAGCCAGCTCACTGTTAGAAAAACCTTTTCATGGGTCAGTTTTTTTCCGCCTGAAGACATGGCTGAGTATGTATAAAACAAACAACCACCACCCCCACCACCTGCCCTTCTCCTCCTCTCAATGCAGCCCTCTGTCACCAGCACAGGCACAGCTCTACCCTTGGGAGGGCAGACACTTTGGAAAAATTTTAAAATAGCTCATGTGGCAAGAGCAGCAATATGACAAACACGTATTTGATCTCTATGCCTCAGACATAAACCGGCGTCCATTAAAAGAAGAGACAGACTTTTGTCAGGATGTTTTAATTTAACTGCAATCGCTCCCTTCCTGTTTGCCTGCGCTCCTGCTCCTATCCTGTTGTTGTGGTCACACCTCTGGAGGAAGATTTATGTATTTTGTTACACAACTTGCCTTCCTTGTATACAAAATATATTCTATTTGCTCAACAGTAAATGTGTACCTCTTATCAGATAGCAGAATTTGTGCAGTGCAAAGAGCTGGTGTTTGTTTAAGCACTCATTGTTGTCTTAAACGTGCTATTCTGATGACCTTGTGTATGGCCTTGGTTAGACAGTTAAAGAGAGGGCTGGGACTCTGAGACTGTCGTTCTTATTTTGTCTGCCAGAATTGTTGTAATCTCAACTGTAAAAGTATCTCATGACTAAGTCTTTTTGGCTGCGATTTTCTTCTAAGTATTGCTTAAGAGTGTGCTTTTAAAGAATAACACTTTGTGTCATGACTTGTTGGATGCACGTTGCAGAAACAGATTTTCAGTTTTACCTGTTTCTGAAGGTGCCTTGTGTAAACACTAAAGCCAAAAAACACAACATGACCTTCAAGTCATTTCTTCAAGCCCTCTGTTTTTTCCGTCTTTTCCTACATAGTACAGGTGTTTCCAGGCTTCTATATCTGTTACCATTGTAGTGTTTGGACTCTCTGTTGTTCATTGACCTTATTTAGTTCACAACTTGTGCTGTTTTTTTTGGCCTTGAGTCATTTAAAGTTTCAGCATAAAGTGGTCATTTGTTGACCAAAATATTTTTCTTAGTTGAACTGCGACTGTCTACTAAAACATTGACTTCTGTTGTTGCCTCGCTGATTGTACATTTAAGTCAAAAGATGATGACTTTGCAGGGGTTATTTTATTGGAATTCTTATTTAAAATTTCATTACAGTATTGAGAATAAACTAAGCTTAAAAATGTGGATTCAAAACTTAAAGAAACTACTAAGATAAATCATAAGAAGCCGATACAAATACTTTGGGCTGTGAGAAAAAAACTGTTTCAGAATTGAAAGTGCCTAAAAAATCTGAGCATCTAACGGCCCTGGCTTACTTCTTTACGTTCAGTGTTTTATAATTAATCAAGAATAAGAGAGCCAATGGAATATTTGCTTCCTTTATTGCGAGGTAAATAGAATTGCAGTAATGATGATGTTATGTTAAATGAATGCTTTTCCTAAACAGATTGGAGATATATATATATATATATATATATATATATATAAAAAAGGAACATATAAGACAAAACTCTTTTTTTCTGAGGTAATTGCAATGTTTATTTCTTCATTGTGTTATAATTGTGTTGGTTTGTGTTGTTTTCGTGTTGTTCAGCAGACAGAGGTGCTTTTTAGTTCCTCTTCACTCCCCTTTCTCTTTTGTTATGGTTTCCCTTGTTCTGTTTTTCCTGATTCATCATATCCCTCCGTTCCACTCTCCTTTCTTCCAGGTCCCTGAGGTGATCAGCAGGATTCGCCAAGTGTCCAAATCCGCCCTAAAGGAAGAAGCCAAGCCCAAACAGGAGGCTGAGGAGGCCTTCTACAACTCCCAGAAGTATGAAGTGCTTTACTGTGGCAAGGTACAAACGAGTGAACTCCTCAAAAATATGAAGTTTTCATCCAATAAGGCATTTGAATTTAATTGAAGTTGAATTGCAGCTGAATGAAAAACATTTTTTTCCAGGTGACAGTTCCGCACAAAAAGGCTCCGTCCACTCTTGTCGATGACTGCATTGATAAGTTTCGTGAGCATGAGGTTGAGCGAAAACGCATTCGACTGCTCAACGGTCAGAGAGGGTTTATTGAGAACGCCCCTGTGGAGTTCCTCATTGGGGGAGACGGAGACCCAATGTCCTCTGCTCTGAATGAGAGTAAAGAAGGCCTGGAAGGGCCTGGATTAGAGGACATGACCGGAGGTGGAGGTAAGAGTCTCCTGAAGATTGAGAAATAGGAAACATGTGTTAAATTGATATGTGACATGTGCACTGCAACAGTTGGAATAAAAAACCTTAAATTGCTACCTATGTGTCGCAAATATGCAGCCTTGGCAGTTTTGTTTGAAACCTGTGGTGGAAACTAATAGATTGTACAAAGTGTCACCAGAGGTGTCAAGTAAAGAAGTACAAATACTTTGTTACCTTACTTAAGTAGAAATTTTGGGTATCTATACATTACTGGAGTAATTATTTTTCAGCCGACTTTTTACTTCTACTCCTTACATTTTAAAAATAGCCTCGTTACTCCTGTTTCATTCCGGCTTGTTTTCATTCCGGTTTGACATCGTTCAAAAAAACACACACAAAAAAAAAAACCCTATCCAGATAAATCGCGTCATCTGGATGAAGTGAATTTGATTGTGGTTGGATGAGAAGTATAAACATATACCATTCCGACACGCTGTGGCGCGGCCTAAGCTTTTATTCTTAATGGCATTTTTCCCCCCTTACATTACTTTTACTTTTATGCTTAAAGTAGTTTTGAAACCAGTACTTTCACACTTTTACTTGAGTACAAAGCTTGAGTTGATACTTTAGCTTCTACAGAAGTCTTTTTAAACCGTAGTATCTCTACTTCTACCTGAGTAATGAATGTGAATACTTTTGACACCCTGAGTGTCACATACCACTGTAACTGTTGTGCATACCTTCAATGTATTATATAAAGTCTTAAGTTAAATATAGCTAAATGTTGGAGTAGATGGTTTTATGGGTGAACTACAGGCTGTATATAAGAAATGGACCTAACCTCCTGGTTTCAGAAGTGAAACCAATCATGAAGTTTCTTAAACAAAAAAAACCAGCCAGATTTTATGAAACTAGTTGGGAAAGGCACCATACTTCCCATTTGATGCGTAAAGTCTGCAAACATGGTACCATTTGGATTAAGGATGACAATAGAGCATGATATGTTTAAGGGCGTGGTAGAGACAGTAATGTGTATTGATCTTTGTTGTCCAAATATGGTCTCACTTACTCCAAAAAAACACGATGTCAACGGCCGTAATGCAAAGCTGGGCCTTCAAAACACTGGTGAATAAATGTTTGCCTTTGTCACTTCATCCACTTCTTCTTGTATACAGTTAAAAGGTTAAACTGAAAAGTTCAGTAAGAACTTGATTAATTGCTCATTACTCATTACATTGTTCACCAATGGTTAACCTGTCAACCAATGATAATTGAGGGTAAAACTGCCACAATTGTCAATTAAAATAACTTGCGGATGTGTTCCTTTGTATCCACGTAAAGGTTTGTCCAACAGTCCCAGTCAGAGCAGCCTGCGGGGGGCGTTCCCAGAGTGCATCTTGGAGGACTCTGGATTCGAGGAGCCTCAGGAGTTTCGTACACGCTGCAGCAGTTTGGCAGGGAATCTGCAGAGGAAGCCAGGGGAAGGCGTCATCATGGGCCCCACGCGCCGCAGACACTCCAGCGCACCAAACCACGTCCAGCCGTCTGATGCTGACAAGAACCGCACCATGCTCTTCCAGGTAGAGGACGTATATTTTTCTCATTTATATAAGAAATGCTGCACATTTAAAAAGTAAAATATTCACTCTTGTACTTTTGCTGATGTTTTGGTTTTAGAGGGAGCTTATAGGCTTATAGATTCCTTATCTCTGAGTGCTGCTGAGCTTTATCATAACAGCAATGTACTCTAATTAAAACCAGACACTTGCTACTGGCACTCAAGTGCCTGGCAGGTCCAATGGGTTTATTATACTTGAGTTGCATTCATTTGCATTGTACAGAAACATTATTACTATGTGTGATGGGGGTATAGAGGGAAAATGTACAATGTACAGCTTTAATGAGTTGAGTTTAAACTATTTTGGAATTGCTCCTTAATGGAAGTGGATGTAAGGTTTAAGTGTCTAACTGTTAATATACTCGCCTGTCTATGAAATTGATGGATTTTTGTTGTTGCCTGCCAAGTCATTATTTGTCATCTTGAATAACTTAACTCCAACCATTACAGATGCACCATTGTTTTACCCCCTTTTTGCATCAGTCCAGCCTGTGAAACCCGTTGCTACTGCAAATCATTTTTATGTGCCCGTGTCTGGCAGTTATAATGTACAGACCAGCTAGGCCCTGTGTAACAGCTTCACTTTAAAGAGGCTGTAACTCCTGAGGAGGTTTTTTTTAAGTACAGTGCAACTCTTGAGAAAAACACAAGGGTGCTGCTGCTTTGTGAAAAAGCATGCAAGCTGCACAGAGCCAGCTGCCATTCCTCGCACACCATGCCCATTTCCTCATGGAGCTAAATTTAAAAATGAGAGCACGGCGCTCAATATGATAGCCTACTCCACATGGCAGTCAATTATGGGAAAAATCATTGGTGTAGATTTGCTGACCTCGATTCTGAGAGTGCATGAGAGTACTGTTTATGCACGTCATTCACCGTAACCAAGTTGCAGCCATTTTCTTTTGACGTCATGCTAAATGCTGAAAGCTGTTTAATGTTAGAATTCTGTGTGTCAGGTTGCACGTTGTATGAAGGTGGTGTATTTGATTCATGATGATTTAACAAGCAATTAAAAAGAGAGTGAAATGTTAAAATCTGTTGGGACTTTGGCCCATACTTCAAAGTTAACAAGAACCTAGAATATTCTTTAGCTACAACGGCTATAGACAAAAGCTGACATTAGAATTGAACCACTTCCTATTTACCATTAACTTGTATTGTCTTCGCTAAAATTAGGTTATAAAATTTGCTGTTTGTAACAATACCAAACAACAGTCAGTCGAGTCCTAGCTTACGGGAATTCTAGCTAGTAAGTGGCTAAATGCTAATGTTAGCTGATGTCTGACCATAGCTTTAAAAATATGTTTAAAAATGCTTTTTAAATAATTTATTTTAATATTGTTGAACTTAATATTGCAAGATCTACCTCCAGATTTTCACTGTTAAGTTGCTGAGTACTCTAACATTAGTAAAAAGATACTGATTTGTCAAATCTCCTTAATTTATTTGACTTAAAAAATGTAAGCACAGCAACATGATATGACAGCACGAGCACTACATCAATAAAAAAAAATGTGTTAAAGGTTTACTATGTAAATATGCAATTTACAAGATTTGTATATATACATACGTCCGTGACTTCTTGCTTGAATCTGTATTTTTATCTTTCATAGGTCGGACGTTTTGAAATAAACCTCATAAGTCCAGACAGTAAAACTGTGGTGCTGGAGAAGAACTTCAAAGATATCTCATCCTGCTGTCAGGTTGGTTTATTTTTACTCGCTTTATTTTTTTCTAAATGCGTCTCTCTCCTCTCCCTCTGCATGGCCAGAGAATTAGCTCAGACTTCATTTGCATTTCTTTTCTAGACATCTAATGCATTAGTGCCTTCTTTTTACAGAACTTCAGGCTTTTCATTTCGGATCCATAATTGGAACACAAATGACACATTTATCAGTGATGTATGAATATGCTTTGCAGCATAATTTCTTTAAAAAGAAATTTAGCATTTAGATAATGGACTGTCTAGTGTGGGCAAAGTGGTCATTTCCCTAATTGAATGGAAAATAGGAGACTGTCAAGAGTGATTTTAGTGTTCCTGACATGTCTGGTCCTTTTTTTCAGTTGAATCTGTATTATAGGACTTTCTACAACAATACAAAAGTACAACCCTCCCAGTTTCCTGTTTATCTTTCCTCTAATGCAGGGTATCAAGCAGTCCGACCACTTTGGATTCATCTGCAGGGACCAAACAGAGTCTGGTCCCAATCAGTATGTGTGCTACATTTTCCAGTGTGCCAGTGAGTCTCTGGTGAGTCCAGCAAAACATGTAAATCAAAAACTACTGCAGTGTTTCTCTTTAACCAATACCTTGTGCATTTGGTGTGCTTTTGCTACCCCTTGTTTGACCCCATGTGTAACAGGTTGAAGAGGTGATGCTCACCCTGAAGCAGGCTTTCTCAACAGCAGCGGCCTTACAGAGCAACAAGACCCCCGTCCAGCTCTGCGAGGCCTGCCCCATGCATGACCTGCACAAGCTCTGTGAGAGAATTGAAGGTCAGCCAGCCCACAAGCAAGCAATCTTCTGTGACTTGAATGTATTGATGGATTATCTGTTAGTAGAGTTAAAACATGAAAGTGAATTATTGTTTTCCTCTTCTGTTTCTAGGTCTCTACCCGCCCAGAGCAAAGCTGGCCATCCAAAAATATCTCTCTCGGCTGACTGACAATGAGCAGGCTGAGATTTTTGAGCGAGTTCAGGTACGGCTGCCAAGCCTAGAGAACAAACTAACATTACCTGCAAAATAAGTGACACATTAACAACTTTGTGAGGGTTTGATTTCTAGGTCTAGTTAAAAAATTCAAGATGCTGCATGTGCTTAAAGCAGTGTTTTCTTCTCTTTTGATTTCCATTGTTTGTGTATCTATCTGCAGAAATTAAAGCCTGCATCAGACCAGGAGGAGAATGAGTTGGTTATTCTCCATCTGAGGCAGCTCTGTGAATCCAAACAAAAGTCACACCTCCACATCGGAGAGGCCCCTCAGGTAAATATTTTTTTTTACCCTGCACATGATGAAAAAAACTAGTCCCACAAAATGTACTACATGTGTTTATTATTGTCTGACAAGAACAGCAATCAAGGTTAAAGGTTGATTTTCTCTTAAGGTTTCTGAAAGGCTTTTAACAAACTTGACATTCATTATAAATCAGAATGGATTAATTACTTTTGATAGTCGCTTTACAAAGCAACCTCTGCCATCAGTGTGTGAATGGGGAGGTGTGACAGGCGGTGTAAAATCGCTTTGAGTAGTCAGAGGACTAGAAAACGCTATACAAGCTCAAACCCATTTATCATTTACTTAATTGTTACAGCTACACTAAAAGCTCTGTATTCTTCTTTGTCCACCCTGATGCATCATATGCAGACTAAGCTCCTTATCAATTGGATCATTGATACATTTTTGTAAAGCTAAGGGGAAATCACGTATGACCTGATTGTGGGTTACTAGTTACGCGTGATGCAGCCTGAGGGTTGCATGTTAAATATCGTTCTCACAGCATTACTCCTGATCACGTGGTTTACTAGTGTGTGCTTCTATGGAGTCGGTACACTAAGAGCTCATTGTGAAAGTCTCTAGGTTCAGATTTTATTCAACATTTCTGTTGTGTTCTTTTGTTGTCTGACAGAATGCAGCTAACAGCCCATCAGCAGGTGACGGCGCAGCCACCAGCAGTCGCTTCAAACTTGATATTCTCAAGAACAAAGCCCGCACGTCTCTCACCAGCTCCCTGGAGAACATCTTTGCAAGGGTGTGTCTAGACAGAGAGTTCTTTCTTTTATCCCCTCCTGCTTTTATTTCTGTTAAATTTCCTGCTGTTATTTTACCTACACCTTTTTCCTCTCGAAGTTTATCCCTGTGTCTTACACTGACAGAGAATAGCTCCTTTTGTCTCCCTTTGTGTATCAGTTGCTGTTTCTGTGTCATTATCATTCAGGGGATTTGGATTGACCCACATCTGTCACTGAGACAGCAGAATAATTCCTTAGGAGAAGCATCTGGGCAATCTGAGACCTCTGCTACCATCTGTTATTGTCTTGGACTAATAATACTATCAATCTTATCAGCAAATCTATAAAATGTTCTATTTATTTATAAATTCATGTGTGTTCTGATGCATTACGAGTCCATATTTTACAGCATTCATGCAAAAAACCTGTGTAAATGTGTTCTACTGATCCATTAGTTTTTCCCCCAGAACTTTTGCAATTGTGTTGTGTTTGCAATTGTGTTATAATATTATATAATCATCTCTGTTACCAGGGCGCCAGCCGGATGAGAGGCCGTTTGGGAAGCATGGGAAGCATGAGCAGCTTTGAAAAGGTAAGTGTCCTTGCGGGGGAAACATGAGAATTCCCAGAAGTTCACCAGAGGGACTCTGGGAATTCTCACTTTTTTTACACTGTGGCTTTAAATAGCACGTTCGTTCCAGCTCTGTCCTCAGAAAACAACAAGTGTGATAAACATGGTTTGACTTTTATCAGTGTCAGTTTAAGTTTCACGCTGTGAACATTTACGTTTTCACATGGAGTCTTGACTGGGCACTCAATTATTCCCGCATAGTTTTATGATGAAGTTTCACTGGCCCGCACTCTGAACAGCGCAGCAGGGAGAGTGTTTACAGGGCTGTCAGAGAACCATTTGGAGTTGTTGGCTGCAGAGTGTTATTGCTGTGCAGAATGTGGAGTGAGTATGTGATGCTGCCCCTGTGACTCCCCAACAGTCAGGAAGGAGTTACAGTGCACTACATCCATTAAGCATTGCACGCTCCTAACGTTGTGGAAATAACGGGGCACGTTCTGCAGCTCTCTCTGAAGCTTAAAAGATGTTTTTCACAACTTAACTCAAATAAATAAGCAGTTGTACGCTCAATGAGCTGCAAACCCATTTGAGGGGACACACACCCTCCCTGTATAAATCTGATAACTAGATTACCCAAAATGCAACTCGACTTCTAACAGCTCAGTCTGCAACTCAGGTATTTCATACTAGTAGCAACTTAAAGAGCCTCAGATACAAACTTCATTCAATCAATCAATCAATCAATCAATCAAGCTTTACTTACATAGCAACTTTCATACAAATCAAATACAGTCAAAGTGCTTTACAGCAAATGGAAAAACAAGAAAAAACATATATAGTATAGTGACTATAGCGACAAAGCGTGTTACAAACAAAACTGGATTTAGTTTTAGATTTAGAAGTAGAGACTTGAACTTAAAACAAAACTCCCAGTTTTTTGTTGAATGTTTAAATCTCTGATACACAACGTTGTTTAACAATATAGCTGATATCAAATGTATCCTAACTTATTAATCTATATCTCTGTATCTAAATATTACTTTCTGAAAAGAGAGTGAAGTCAAACTCCCTCTTTGATTGTTGTTCTCAGCTCTTTGTTCACACTGACGGGTTACATTTCCCTCAGTTTGTTTTGTGTGTCACTCAGAGGTGTTAACATGTTTCATACATGTTTTTTTTTTTTTTTGCATGACCGTTGGCGCTGCCATCATGTGGGGGGAAGAGAGACAGCCATGACTACTCAGGGATGTTGTTTGTAGAGTTGTAATGACAGAGTGTCACTCTTGCTGTTGCAAGAGGACAACTGAAGGAAAACCATCAGACTTCCCAAACAACAGAAAATACTTTGATTGCCTAATCATCCTTGGGCTGCGTATCACAATGGAGATCAGTCCTTCAAACGGCTGCACTCTGTCAAAACACTGAGGGGGAGGAGCGGGGGGGAGGAGGGGAGGCAGTGAGCTCAGGGATAGATGAGGTATGGTCAAGGAAAAGTTTGTTCACTGTCTGTTTTGAGAGACTGTTACTAAAGTTGGATACCTACTGGACATCTAGTATAAACCTTTAATTTCCACCATGAACAAGTTGTTCAGGAAATTACTAAGAACTTGACTTCACATGATTCAGGAGACTTATATGGCTGAAAGAAAGTTTATACATACAAGAATACTCCAGAGGAGAGATGGAGTAACAAAACACATCTGTTGGGGTGTTCTGCCAAACTCTCTCAATACGTTGCATATATACAGTGTATATATATATATATATATTTTTAAATCTCTTCTAAAGACCCATCTCTTTTCCCTGGCCTTTGACACACAGTAAGACTTTATGTATTTATTTGATTTCTTTTTTGCTTGCCTATTCATTTTTAAATGTTTTATGTCTTTTAAAGGGTTAAGGTTAGGGTTAGGCTTTTATCTCATGTGAGCTGTTGTGTATTTTATTTATTCTTCTGTACAGCACTTTGCTAAACTGTGGTTGTTTTAAAGTGCTTAAAGTTGGATTGGATTGGATTGGATATATAGAAAAGACATTGTTGACGTCAGGGTCATAATGACCCACCTAAACTAGTCTGTGATGTCTAGGACAATTTGAAAACAGACACTAAGTCTACCAAACAACATCACAGATAGAGGGGAAGACCCTACACACGTTATGCTGTCCTTGCTTCTCTAGTCACAGCTGAACTCTATCCGGTCTGACTGACATCAGAGAACAGTGAATAAACATAATGATGATTTAAATCTAAATACATAGGTACAGACAAATCCACCACACAAGTGACATCACTTGAGGCAAGTCATTCGATGTCATGCAGCTGCCTGCTGCCAAAAATGTTTAGCTTTTTTTCCAACTTTTTTCCCAAATGCTACAAAATCCAGAAAAAAAAGACATGAATGCGTCAAATCTGCGGTGTCCCCCTTAAAGAATGATATGCTCTTAAAAACATTATTAATTTGAATGTTAAATTAGGAATAACAATGAAAAGTCACAGTAACAGAGTCAGACAAATATGTGGAGCATGTGATGGTAATGTCTTTCAGTTGTTTAGGGGGATGTCCTTACCTTTGCCCGTCTCACATGTTCAGTTTTGAGATGGTCGCAGAATGTTGTTTTCCCTTTGTAAGAGGGAATAAGTTCTCATTTGGGAATTATGTCAGGATGCCGATGTCTTATCAAGCAGGAAATTCAGTCAGGAAGTCCAGTTGTGCTGAGCCATGCCTGTCTGGTCTTCCTCTCCTTAGCCAAGTCATAGGACAGAGTACTACTCTGGCAGAATTTCACTTTATCTTATCAGTGTTTCCTAAATCATTCAGTGATAACATCTGTACAACAAACTGTTTTCATCTGCATTTTGATTAGCAGAGCAAGGATTGTGGGGATAAAGACCTTGGCTTCATCAGACCTTGTAGTTGTTATTTAAAGGGAAACAAGTTGTACAAATACGGCAGAATGTCCCCTGTCGTGTTCGATCTCAGGGAGGGAGGTATATAAAAGCACGATGGAAGCAGATTGGAGGGTGTTCATGTGGAGTTCAGCCACTGATGTCCTCCCAGCCAATAGTGTGTGATGGTGTGAGTCACAGGACTGAGCCCATTAGAATACAATAGATGTGGGAGTCGTACCAGCGGGCATGAGGCAAAGCCGAGATCAGAAGTGTTGAGTGGAAAGTTGAACCTGGAACGAGTGTTGCTTTGGGGTTGCATGGCCTAGGTGAGTGCAGACCTGTAACTTGAGTGATTAAGTTGGTGTTGAATTTGTCATACGAGGTGTCTTTGGAATAAAAGGTACTAGCTGTGTATGGTTTCACTCTCAAAGGCATTAATGTCATTATAAACGGTTTAATTTATACCTAGTTTTAACCATGAAATGTGTGTATTTTAGTGGTATTTGTTGGTTGATCATGAGCTGAACTTTGTTATATTTTAGAGGTGGGGAAAAAAATCAAGATTCTTCTCTTCTCAGATTTAAAATTGATTCATGACTTATTTTAATATTTTCTTTTTTGTTTTTGTTTGATTTTTTTTTTTTTGGGGGCTCATCAGTCACTCCCTGCTAAGTGCTAAGGCTAGCTCTTTAACTCAGTAGAATGCCAAATAGAGCAACAAGAAATTCAGCCAGTCTCACAGACGACTGGAGTAAATCCTGTAGTATGTACTAATTCATTAATAGACTATGAATCCAGAATCGTTTGGAATCGAAAATCGAATCATGACCTCAAGAATCGAAATCGAATCGTGAACTACCCAAAGATCCCGAGCCCTAGTTATATTCACATTTTCTTTCATTGTTTGAACGTTAAAAAGAAAGAAGGCAAATCAAACAATACCAAAATCTTCATGGAAAACATTGTTAGTTAAGGAAGCTAAGAATAGCCAATTACTTTTACATGCTGTTATCATGAACTAAGAAGTCAATTTATTAACTAGCCAGTTTTTTTCCACAAGTAAATGAGATTAATGAACCTTTAATCACAACCAAAACAGACTTTTGTCCAGATTACAAGATAATTGAACTGGTATCGTGAGTTACCAACTTAGTTTATATCCGGATAACAAATAGTCAGCCCTAACTATAAAAAAAAACAAGCTAATAGGAATATCAACACGCTATCATACAAAAACAAGCTATGATGTAATCAATGCAAAAATTCAGGAAGTTATAAAGAGAAAACGAGCTTTGATTTCCGAGATAACAAACACTCATGTCATTAATCAGGAACAAAAGTTTTGTTATTTGAAGATAAAGAAATGACCAACTTGTGATGAGGAGAAATTCAGCTTTGATATATTAAGATAATGAGATTATTGGTCCATTAATCACAAAAAAACAAGCTGTGTTGCCTCCAGATTCTAGCAAAGTTCTCTCTCTCTCACTTCATTGCATTATAAAGATTAAAGTCAGACCCTCTACTTCCATACAACAGTGCATGACTGTGTTACTGATGCACTTACATTTTTGTCACATTCTGTCCTCCTCAGCCGGACGAGGAGTCTCCTGGTCACTCCCCTCCAGGTTCTCCTCCAGAATTCCCAGAGGACGACCCGGAAGGCGGCCCGCAGTTCCGCCGACGAGCCCACACCTTCAGCCATCCACCTGTGAAGAAACGCATCTCCTTTGAGGGCCAGCCGACTAACCAGAACAAACCCCTGCGCAGACAACAGTCGGTTAACGCGGAGCTGTTGCAGAGCAGGTAGAATACACTTCACCGATGAGTTACTGCCTCCCTAGTGTGAACCGCATAGAGAGGAATGATGAATGCTGAGTATGCAGCATCTCTTCCTTGTACTAAAATCTCCCGTAGGAATGAGCTTTTGTGATTTGTTTTAAAGATATGGCTAATGCTAACTGTGATTAAAAATCCCAACCTGATGCTTCCCCTAAAACCAGTTTAACAGTAAATATTTGTCCAACCTTTAATCTGTTCAAACAATCTAATCTATTTGCAGCACTTTGATCAGTCCTAAATCTGTCCGCCTTCTGCTCCATTATTCTAAAACAATAGCATCACACGTTTCCTGCCTCTGTTTTGATCCCTCATGAGTTTCTATGTTTTTTTGTTTTTTTTTCTGTTCTGCTCTGACAATAAGCTTTTGTTTGGTTTTTTTTTTGTTTATTTTGTGGGCACTTCGTGTTTGGCTCGCCCAGTCCCTCGGCTGTCTCGAGAACGCGCAGCGTTTCAGAGAGCGAGTCCACCTTCAGCCTCCCCTCCTCCTTCTCCGCCCCCACTTTCCTGAAAAGCATTTACCAGGGCTCGCTGGGCTCCCTCAGCTCCCTGGCAGACAGTGGGAGCCTCAAGAGGTGAGAGGGGGTGCTCAGATAAGCTCCACCCCCTAATGCGTAGACCTGAACGCGCAGAGGAGATGGGTGGTAGGGACCAAGTGTTTGTTGCTGGGATGGCCGTACTCGCATACGTGTTGGCTGTCTGAACTTTTAACCCTCCCTGTATCTTTAAACCTTTTTCTCTGTCTATCAGCAACTTGTATTCGAACACTATGCAGCTGTTCCTTTCCGAACCTTATCTCCAGCTGGCCTCGCCCTCTTCCTGTATCTCTCTGAAGTAGAAGGGATGCTGATACGCCCCTCTCTTGTTGTGCTTGCATGTGATATGAAGCTTTTTTGCACGGCAAAAATTGTATTAAACCTTGATACAAAACCTTTATTAACTGCACGTCATACCTTGACATCTTCTTTTTGCTCTTATGCTGACTCAGTTCAGAAGTGTGTATAGAGATGATTTTAATCTTCAGCTGCGCTACCCAACCAGCTAACCTAGTATGTTCAAGGAAAAAGTCTCTCAGGGTCTGCTGTCTGGATGGCAGAAAGTAAAAAGGTTAACGTTTCCATTATAAATGAGCTCCAGCGGAGCAGACAGGATCTTTGTCTCCCCTGATAGCGGTCGAACACTCTGAGCCCTGACGTTGATAATGCAGCAGAAGGTTCAAGAAAAGCTTTTAAATCTCGTGCTGCTCCAGAAGATGAATTACAAGCAGACTTTGTAGAAAAGCCTCGACGTGCAGGTGTCGGAATATGCAAACATGTTACAGCACAGTTTACTTGATCCAGATGCACAGTGAGATCACTCTTTCCCCAGAGCAAGAAAACATTACAAGAGGTGAGATGTCAGGTGAAGAAGTTAAATCTGTTAAAGAGGCAATAAATGTGAGGAAGAAAGGAGAGCGTTAGAAATGTCAACTAAAGTAATTTCCTGTTTGTTTTGTGTGCTGTCCACATGATCAGACAGGAATTTACATGCTGTCTAAGCTTATTAGATACTGAATCAATCAAGTTATACTCATGGATAGCAAAATATATATTTTTAGGGAGAATGTATTTTCTACTGAATAGCTTTGCTAGTGACTCAGAGCTCAATCAAATTATTCAAAAGTTCTCTGGATTTAATCAAAACCATTATTTAAAATAAAAAAGATTGATGCTTGGATTTTATTTATTTTTGCATTTATGTAATTTGTCATATTACAAATGTGTATCTCTCTGGTTTTATACTCTCTGCTGAGCAGTGTAACAACTGTATGATAAATGTGGCAATGCTGAGAAATCTCTGGACGTTGTAAAACCTCTTTTGTTGTTGTTTGATTGTTTTTTTCGCCATAAAAGTTAAAAACAAGTCATCCTGCAAAATATAAAACGAGTTTCTCTAGTTATGCTGTATGGTAGGTGGTTACTGCATGGTGCACCAGGATGCAGGTTTAAAAAAAAGAAGTGAAATAAAGAGACGCTGGCCTTTCCTCTACATTTCATCCACCTGTTTTCTACCGACTTTGCTCGTATGTTTACACAAATTGTAGGTTTGTTTCTATAAACCTTTGCAGCTGCTCCACATAATGACCATGCACTTGATTTTGGTTGTTGTTGGATTCATTTGGGATCTTTTTTTTTTTCCCCCTTTTTTTAAATTGTACTTGCCAAGTTTTTAAAAGTGTCTCTATTGTTGCGTAATAGATGTGTCTGAATATAGCTCTGATGAAGGTGAAACATGAGTAGAGTGAGGCAGTGAACTTGATATTCTTCAGCCTAGAAACACAGTCTTCTTCTACATTAACAAAAGCGGATTTCTTTTTTTTCCAGGAAATGAAACAAGCATGCATGCACCTCGAGCCGGGGCTGTTTGTAGCAACTAAACATGCCGTCTCCTACAACAGTACTCTCTGCTTTATTAACATGAACATTTGAAGTCAGTCAATCCTTTGTATGTTCAAAGTTCATCCTGACTGTTTCTTATTACATCACAATTTGCTGATGAGAAGCTATTATTATAGCATTAAGTATCCTGGGATGTCTCTGAGTGTGTTAATGTACTTAAGTGTGTGTGTGTGTGTGTGAATGTGTGTGCACGCTTGCATTTGTGAAAGCTTTTGGAAGCGTGTTTGTGTAAGAAGATACCTAACTTGTTTATTGGGTGTCTGTGACGCATGTGCTTCTCTCTCGCAGCAATGGGGAAAGCAGGAACAGGACGCTCTCCGGCTGCAGCAGCGACTCAGTGAGTGGTGGTCTCCCTCCGACCCCACGCAGGGTCTCCTGGAGACAGAAGATCTTCCTGAGGGTCGCTTCACCCATGAACAAGCCGTCTGCCTCCATGCAGGACACAGGTAACACAATCCTGCACGCAGTTGAAGGGAGGCACGACATGATGCACAATGTATACGCTCTGAATAATCCACCAGTGCATAGAAAATGAGGCAAGGTTCAAGGAAGAGTCTTGTGGAAAGTTTCTATTCTTAAACGTGTGATGTTAAAAATCACATGCATACTGTCTGTGGGAGAAGCAGTGAGGGTTGGAGGAAGAGAGAATTTTCCTAAATCATCTTTGTCAGATAAACACAGATAAAGGAGCTCAGGGGAAAGTGATCCTCCTACCTGTTCTCATGGCCGGTTTTCTTGGCTCCTAGATCAAATTCTTCACCCAGAGGGAGCTTAAAAAAGGAGCTAGCAGGTTATTCCCACATCTAAGGCCTTAATATCTCTTTAAGCTGCCTTTTTAAACTGGCATGACTCAACAACATGGTAATATGATGCATAACAAAAGAAGAATAAGCTAAATGAGGCTTGAAGGCTAACTAGAGTCAGTGATAAATATTTGTGGACATTTCTTTTTATAGTAAACAGTGTAGTCGGGTTAATTGTTCATACAAAGAAGTATGAATAAGCAATACACGTAACTCATGGTGCACAGCTTTATAGGAGAGTCAGCTGTCAAAATAGATACAGAAAACATAATCTGACTTTGAGGTACACCAGATGTGCCAAAAGTTAAAACATGTACTTTATAGATTTTGTGTAGTATATTTAGTACACATGTTTTATCATGATGTGTTTTTAGACCACTCAGATGGCAGGGAGCTGTTGCCTCTCTCACCTTGCGTCTTGAATTCAACCCTGGATCCGTTGGGGCGCCTCCTGCCTTCAGTAGGCGCCCCCCTAACTGGGGAAAGGCCTAAGAAGACAAGCGCTGACTACCAGACCCTCTGGAAGACTGCCATCCACCAACAGATCCTCCTGCTGCGTATGGAGAAGGAGAACCAGAGGCTGGAAGGTAAGTTGCAGTCACTCAGTGCACATTAAGATTTATAATTGCCCTCAACGAATCCTTACTTTGATCACATGAACGATAAATATGAAGAACATCATGTTTCATCGCTGTTTAGTGTATTTGTTTCTCTGCAGGCTGGGGTGGGATTTATAATTGGTCATGGGGTTGGTCTCGTTGGTTCAGCTAACAATGGGTCTCGTTGTTTAGGTTGTTAAGACATTTATGCCGGTTTGAACTTTCAAACTTTTTCAATTTTCTTTAGTCTTCATCTCACACTCGAACACTGAAAGTGTTGATTTCTCTTACTGAAGCTCTTTTGAGAGGAATGGAAGGCTCAGAGGAAGCCGCACACTGTCATTACTGTTTATTTTGAGCGAGCCAAATCTACAATCTTGGTTATGAACTCTGGAGCACAGCTTTGTTTAGAGCAGTGTTTTGGTTTGGCATACATACACAAACAAGTAGCGGCAGGCAGAAACTTAAAAAAAGCATTTAAATTATTTATGTTCTTGTATTGGGGGGGTCTTAAGTTATAGTTGAAATTACCGCATTTAGCATTTGGAAATAGCACCCTCTAGTGGCCCTGATTGTTAAACTATTGTTTTGCTCTTATTATAACTATTTGTCTTTGAAGAGGGAGTTAACAAATAGGAGGAGGGATGGAATTAAGCAGAGATAGTAAAAGCCATTTGGGAGAGTATATTAGCTGCTTTATTACACAGTAAACACTTTGTAAAACATAACAGTGGAAGATTGCAAATGCATAGCGGTAGTTATCGTTCATCGTTGTGTGATGAACCAGGTTCTAGTACCTTTACTTTTGGCACCAACACGTCTTTAATAGGGCTGGGCAATAGTAAGATATAGTGATATATTTTCAAAGAAGAAAGGGTAAGACAATATTGTTAATATCGACAAAACAGGTAGTTTATTTTTCCATGTGTTTTCACTGTTTATAAAAGGCATAACGATATCGAGTATCGCCATTCAGCTAAACAATATTGAGATATGAGTTTTGGTCCATATCACCCAGCCCTAGTCTTTAATTCTGATAACAGAAACATATGAACTCTCCTGCAGACACTCTGGCAGTAGTAAGCTTCAAACATTGCTTAAACAGAGAAACAAATAATTTAGCTAACTGCAGGTTAACAAGCTAGCCGCGATTTTGAGACAGCTGCGCTTTTAGCTAGCAAAGCATATTAACCTGCTGAGTTGAAATTATTCAATAGTAAACCAATATCACCACGAAAAATGTTTGATGTTACATTTTGAGATTAAATCTCAAACATACCACATGGATAAATAGCACTTTTACAATTGAAAGAAAACTTATTTCAATGGGTTTTAGAGGAGTTTATTACTCATTAACCTGCCGTAGGGCTACTTGGACAGGAAACGACACACAGGTTGTACTACTCAAGTCTGCAGGGGCCCCAGCAGAGGGCGCTCATGTTACTCACCTGTCCCAAGCTCATAAGAATACATTTACAGTAGGCTACTTACAGATGGTTAAAATTATGGAGAATGATTAGTGGCATCATAAACACTTCTTCACATCTCAAACTATCGACTAAGAAGGGCATGTAATGTTTATGTATCACCCTGAAATGAAACTAAGGAGATAAAGCCACACAGATTTTTTTCTTTCTGGGGATTTAGCTGTTCTGTGTAGCCTTTATATTTTTATTCTACCAACACATCTCTTCCCTTTGTTTGTTACTATGACACCAAATGCTGGTCTGAGGACCTAACTGTGAATAAACGGTTTCAATAGAAGGTAAGCAATAGGCAGATAGATGTTTTGCATGATTCTGGGGGTTAGAGGTTTTCCATTCATTCAATTCAGCTTCTTTTGTTTGCATGCCAGGGGCTTTATAATACTTATAATGTGTCTTTTGTAAATATTGTCCTTTGTATTTCTCTTTCATCTCTCATTGTGTCGCTTTCTCGTGCATTCACAATAATAAGGATGTGTCTTTGGTGTTAATGTGGGAACTGTGGTTTGTATTGAAGTACCTTTCTGTAGTAACTGGTCTAAAAGGTTGAGGGATTATACGCGTAATTGCTCTTAAATCTGGTGTCTTTTAATCAGCTGCCTCGTATTTTGTAAAAGCAGAAACAAAGGGGTTTACGGTCCACTTTTTGTTGGCATTTGATCTTCATTTCCTGGAGGGACAAGAGAATCTTCATCGACATAATGTTTTAAAATTGTGTTCAATCATCTCTCTTTTTTTTTTTACATGTGATTGTGTTGTAGCGAGCAGAGATGAGCTGCACATCCGCAAGATAAAGCTGGACTACCAGGAAGTGGGGCAGTTCTCTAAAGATGTGCAGGCATTGTGGGAGAGAAAACTGACCGCCCGGGCAGAACGACAGTCCCACAAGACAAGGAGGAGATGTATCGTGTTCTCTGCCAAGGTGAGAAGAAGTGTATGCGTGCCCATTTAGTGAAGGCATGCCTGCGTATTTGTGTATCTTCAAATCTATTTTCAGCAATACATGTGACGTGTGAGGTCCTGAGCGTGTGTTATCTGTGTGTGTGTGTGTATAGGTGTTCCGAAGAGCAGGCGTGGGGATGTCTGGTTGCTCCTTTCCCATCAGCATCGGCTGCGTCACAGACTCCCCCAGCGCCAGCAGGCCCCCGACACCCTCTACCATGACCTGCTGAAACAGCTCACCGCTCAGCAGCACGCAATTCTGGTGGACTTAGGTATGCACACAACTGTAGAAAAAGAAGCCCTTTGTAGTCTTGAAAAGAAAAGGGACAGAATTGGACCTTTTTTATTTCATTTGTGTTTGCCTTAATAATTAGAGATAATGCACTTAGAGGACAAGTGCATGAACAAAAGTTGTTATTTTTATGTATTTTAGTAATTCATGAGATAAGTAGAGAAATTATGACAGAATAAAATGAAAATGTCTCCCTCAGGCCGGACCTTCCCCACCCACCAGTACTTCTCCGCCCAGCTGGGTGCAGGCCAGCTTTCCCTCTACAACCTCCTGAAAGCCTACTCTCTGCTGGATACAGAGGTACATTGTTAAAACCCTTTCTTTCCCCCATTGTGCATCACTGTAAAGATGAATTACATGAATGTCATAAAACCGGTGGTACGTCTTTCCTTCTTTTTTTTGTTGTGCTGCACAGGTTGGTTACTGCCAGGGTATCAGCTTTGTAGCCGGGGTGTTGCTGCTGCACATGAGTGAAGAGCAGGCCTTTGACATGTTGAAGTTCCTCATGTATGACCTGGGCATCAGGCAGCAGTACAGACCGGACATGGTCTCTCTACAGGTCAGTACATAAACAGACTGATGAGCCATTACACTGTGATCCATCTAATTACATTGTGATCAAATATTTGCTTTGGAATCCTATACATTTATGACCTTTGAGATAATTAAGACTTTATAAAGTGAAAAAAATAAATTCCAAAAAAAATTGCAGCTTTTGTAAGGCTTTGAAATAACATCTACATGGTTCCCTCTAGAAATTTTGGCTGAGATGATTAAAGCATTTTCGTACATTATGTCATTATAAATCTGATGGTTTTTCTTTACCGTCTGAATAACTTATATATTTACAAAAAAAGATTTTTAAAAATTTTCACTTAAAATATATATTATTTAGGATATTACATTTGTTGTTATTGCAATACTCACTACAACCACTAGAGGGTGAAGTGCTGCATTTTCTCAAAATCCTTCAGCTGTCAAAAATCATTTTTGCCGATTTTTGAATCTGCAACCTGCTCTAGATACAAAGTGCATACATGCAGCATCATCTTGTCAATATGACTTTTATATCACTAACCACTTATTAACAAAAAAAAATATCTTAGACAAAATATTTTAATTTACCTTCTAAAACTTTTTCCTTCCACTTGTTTTCTAATTAACAAAAAAAAGTAGCTAGAAAAATCATTTCCCTGTCTGTTTCATAAATTAAAGAAACTTAAAACAAAAATAAGAAAAAAAATGCAATTATTCTGCCAAACAACTTTTTTACATTAAATCATTAACCAAAGAGTGCAATTAAAAGACTGAAGATCACTCTGAGGATATGTGTCACGAGAATGTTTTTCTTACTTACTTACTTACTCACTGCTTCTCAGGGTTTCCTGCTCTCTACACAAAGTGGAGTTAATTTTAATAGTGCACAATAAAGTGCAATGTTTTTACAGCTTATAAGAGACGATTTGTAACACACAAGCATTCTGGATTATTTCATATCATCTGTCATGTGACTGCTGTGAGAAGTTTAGTGCTTGTTAAAAGTTAGCAAACAGAAGTGAAAACGTCCCCTCCTCCTCTTCAAACCACACCTGCATGCCTGCTCTGTTAGCTTCAGTTAAACATCAGCTGACCTCACAAGGGTTAAAGCATCAGCAGGCGTGGTAATGTTTAATCTACATCAGGTAACCATTTAGCCGAGCAGCCGGCCTCTTAGTCCTCTCTACACTGCGGTTTTGTTCTTTAAAGACTCATACAAAGGTTGCGAGGAAAAGAGGAATTTGAGCTGTGTTCTCTCTGTGCAGCACAAAGAGGTAAAGGTGTTCCTTGTTTTCTTGGTAACAGTCAGGAAACGGTTGGACTGATAACAGTCTAATTTTACCACAGGCTAACTTCTGCTTCTTCTTCTGTCTTGTGTGCCGTGTGTTTCTCTGTAGCACTTGTCAGAACCACTGTCACTGTAATGCCTTGTTCGCTAGTAAGTAGTGCTTATCAGACTCTTGGCTTTGATGCATATTTGAGCACATCTGCAGCACTACACGGGTAACTCTGAAACAGCTCCCTGCTTGGGTGAGAGTTCCTCTGCTAGTCTGTCATTTTTAGGTAGCCCTGTGTTTCTCCTCAGATCCAGATTTACAAGTTTGTTCTGGCACAACATGTTTAGGCCTGTATCTGTGTGTACCATCTGTTTGAGCTTTGTTATGCTTTCTCCCAGATTCAGATGTACCAGCTCTCCAGACTGTTACACGACTACCATCGGGAGCTGTACAATCACTTTGAGGAGCACGAGATCTGCCCCAGCCTCTACGCGGCACCGTGGTTCCTCACTCTGTTCGCCTCACAGTTTCCCCTCAACTTCGTGTCCCGCATCTTTGGTATATTTTTAAGAATGACATTTCCTGTGTTTGCTCAAACATTAAAGGCTTATCACCACAATTGCTATTTATAAAAGAGGATGGCCATTAAAATAGCCTCGTGATAATTCAAGCTTTACGAGCAGTGTAGGTTGATTATTTCTGTGCATGTGTTTTGTGTGTTTGTTTTCTAGATTTTGTATTCATCCAAGGCACCGGCGTGATCTTCAAAGTGGCCCTCTGCCTGCTGAGCAACCATGAGAGGGAGATAGTGGAGTGTGACAGCTTTGAGAGCATTGTGGACTTTCTGAAAACTACAATTCCCACCCTCACTCCCACACAGATGGAGCAGACCATCGCAAAGGTACAGTGGAAAGTTTGAGATGGTGTCCCATATTGACACTTGAAACAATGTCCTCTGTTAATTATTATGTATCATACAAACTCCTCACTCAACATCGAATCAAACATGGAATTATTGGAATGTCAGGTCCTCACAAATAGAATTAACTTTAAACATAAAATCTCTCCATTTACTTTGGGATTTCTAGGAATACTTTCAGTGTTTGAAATCCCACTTGCACACCTCCTTTCTCCATGTGAAACTAAGGAAAGGGATTTAAAGGATCAAAAAATCTTGATAGGACAACAAATCAAAACACATCCAACTTTTAGAGTTATCGCCAAAATAATAATAATAGGAAATGCATTTTGATTCTATTCATATAGTATGTGTGTGTGTGTGTGTGTGTGTGTGTGTGTATATATATATGTATATGTGGAAGAAAAAATGCATGTTTGAGATATTATTGATGACTTGCATGACCTGCAAAAAGAAGTATTGCTGTATGTGTTTGGCAACAAACAACCATTCTCACTTCAGCCCATTTTATCATCACAATGTTTTTTTTTTTGAGGTTGGTTGTGTTTTGTTAGGACTTGATTGTAAGTAATTCTGCAAAATGAAGATGAATTAAGACAGAATGATATTCATCGTGGGAAATTACTACACTCCAGTAACCATGATGAATCCTGTTTGAGTAAGAACAGTTGAGACTGAGGTTAAGAAAAAACTTGTAAATCTTTCACTTTGTTATGAAAGGATGTTACTTAATTTAAATGGGGTTAGTTACTTCTGATGGTCACTTCACACAGCAGCCTCTGCCATCAGTGTGTGAATGTGTAGGTATGACATGCGGTGTAAAAGAGCTTTGAGCAGTCAGAAGACTAGAAAAGTTCTACACAAGCTCAAATACCACAACGACTTGTCATTTGATGTCATCCGTCTCTCTCTGTGTCGTTTTCCAGGTTATGGAGATGGACATCTCTAAGCAGCTGCATGCGTATGAGGTGGAGTACCACGTCCTGCAGGATGAGATGTTGGATCCGGGGCCGCTGCTCGATGACTCAGACCGCCTCGACAGAGTAGAAAAGACGAATGCACAGTTAAAGAAACAGAACATGGACCTGCTGGAAAAACTTCAGGTAAGAAAGTAAAGAATCACATTTAGACTCACACCTACACACACGTCCCATCGCCACATTAGAGGGAACTATTCTGAAGACCTGATGAATGTTTAGCCGTATTGTTTAAAGATCCACTGAGGTGTCTGCTGACAGTTTCTCAGACTGCCTGTAGATGGCACTAAAACACAAGTTAAAGGCTGAGTGTTCATGATAGTAAGACAAAAAGGATTGGATGTAGACACTGTATGTGCATACTCATAACATTTTAAATTAGTAGTTTCTTGTCAGACTATTGCTGGATGAGTGTATCTACAACATCTAGAAAGTGATTTGTTTTTGTTTTTGTAAGAGAAAGATTATATTTGGTCACACTTTTGTTTACATTCTGTGCTCTGCGTCTGTCCCAAAGTCACACCAGTGCTGACTTCTAATGAGTTCTGATAATGTGCAGTTTCTGTTTTTGTGTGTGTGTGTGTTTAATTGAACTCTCTATCCCAACATGTGTCTTTGCATCATACCCTGTGTTCACTGAATGTGCAATCGCTGTCCTTCCAGGCTGCGCGGCAGAAGATCCAGACGCTGGAGACGAACGTGGAGAACTTCCTTTCTCGAGAGAGCAAAATGAAGCACATGATCCGCACTCTGGAGCAGGAGAGGGCAACGTACCAGAAGACCATCGAACGCATGCGCTCAAGCCTTCCCCATGACACCCTGACAGATGTGGAGATGACCCAGATCAAAACAGGACCCAACGGGAAAGCCAAAACCGCCGCCAAGAAGCCCTGATGGCAACCGGGATGGCTGGCTGGCTGCTCAGGCACAGACTGAAGTGAACAAATGGAGACTGCTGAGCCCACACAGCTATTGTTCTTCTCCTGCACAAGTGTAGCAGTGTTCTGTAAACGCCTGATGTCTGGCCTTGAGATTGTACGGGAGATATCTACACGATGTTTGTCAGTATATAATAGAGTTGTGGGAGGATATTTTCAGTTATATTAGCAAACAGACTGTTCCATGAGTGCATCAAAGCTGCTGCTGTGCCTCATCTGTTTCACTGCCAGTTTAAAGGTGAGATCAGGATGCACAGCTATCCTCCTTATTCAGATCGTTTTGACAGTCACAGGGGATTTTTTTCTAGATGACACAAAAAAAAGATATGTCTGCCTCTACAAATCTTTTTGCCTTGAAGTATTTACTACCACAAAGGCAGTGAAAAGAAGGTGCCTGCTGGCAAACAATCCTCCGGGCTTCAGGTTAAATTTAAAGCCATTATGACAGTGTGTATGATGCTGGAGTTCACCCCTTTGTTTCACTTGTTTTTGAACTCATTTCAGGCATGGAAACTATGCCTCTTGAGTAATCACACTGCTTCGTCATTTCCTTTTTTTTTTTTTGGTCTTGATTTTTTTTTTTGTGAATGTAACTTCCCTCCAAAGATCACAGTGATCACATTCTGTTTTTTTTTTTCAAAACAGAGACATCTCAGTGCACACCTGCTGGTTTTACATGTCTGCAGACAAACATATTATCTCATTGCTCATCTTGTAGCACAGCACCACTGCCTTCACATGAAAGCTCTTTCATACTTGCTGGGGTTTTTTTTTTTTTGAAAGGAGGAAGTGTTTCTTCCAAAGCTCAGGCAGGATGTGAGGTCGTCTGCCTTCTCAGTTTCCTGTGTGACTGACCGCAGCGTCGACTCTCTGTAGCACCACACTCAGAAGTTCACACCCCGTGGGAGGCACTGAAATGAAAAAAAAAAAAAGGTGTAGGACTGATATGAATGTACATCACATGCTTTTCGTCTGAAACCTTTCTTACATTTTAGTTTTTTTTGTCATCAGAAGGATAACAAAGCAAGCAACATCCTCCTTTGTTGTAGTTCTCGGAAGGTGCAACTACAAGCAGGTCAAGATTTTAGGACTCACATCTGCAGTTTCTTTGCTGTCTGTCCTAATTTTATGTCTTGCAGTGAAGTCTTGGTGATCAGTTGAGCATAGACTTTCCCTTTGAGTGGAATAAGCCTCTTCTGAAACTTAAGAATATACAGTATCTGTACATGCAAGCTGTGCAGAGACCTGTCTGGCTGTATGGACAGGCAGTTCAAATGAGTGTAAAGTGTGTCCCTGGGTCTCTCTTTAGTTCGGTTTTGTCCCACCTCCGTGTCTGACTCATCGTCACCGGTTCTGATAAAAAAAAAAAACAGCCTTGGTCTTGGTCTGCTATTATTAAACAGCCCTACATTAAAACCAAGGTGATGTCTAAACATCACCTGTCAGTCTTCCTGTCCTTGGTGACAAATTGTGGTTAATACATTTGTGTCTGTTGAAAGTTTTTTCTTTTTTTATCTCTCATAGTGAAGTCCAAGCAGACATTGGTATACAATACAAATATGTTGTGTTAAGCAATCCTGTGTTTGCATATACAGAGAGCACTTTCCTACTTTGCTAAGCTACAAGGATCTAGTGTTTCACATAAAGTTTAAAAGGTTGATTTAAAAAAAAAAAAAGACGTTCAGTGTCATGGTGAAATGTTCTTGTGGGAACTGAGGTTGTGTCTAACAAGTAACAGAGGACTATTCACCTCCAAACAGCAGGGATACTTTCAACTGTGCAGAAGTGAAACATATCAAACATATTATTGTGGTATATGTCGAAGGTTCTTAGGGTACAGTCCTACATCTCTTGGCCTGTATTTTTCATATTTAGTGTTTGCGCTTCTATAAACTGGGGATTGAACCAAAGATGTGGTTGATTTTTAAAGAAAAGAATGAATGACGATTCATTTCATCCAAAAAATGCTGTACTGTAAATGAACTGTTTTTAATGTGATGACCGTTTTGTCACTTTATGAGTTTTCAACATGCGTTTAACTTCGTTCTTCGGAGTAAGAGGTTAAAAAGATACCAAATAGGGAAGCAAAAAAAAAAGAATATTGGCTGACATTTTTACTCTTTTCTTACTCCTCTGTGCCAAAAGGTAATAATGAACTTTATTCCCTTTTATTTGGAGATATGAGACCCTCTTAAGTATCATCGTGGTGGTCAGCGAAGGATCTTTTAACGTACATCAGTTGATCAAAGTCCTGACTGCTAAAATGTGCTTTTATCACTGTGTTTAATACTGTACTTTCAGAAAAAAGACTCTTAATAAAAGCTGGATTTTTTTTCTGTCAACATGAGGGCTACACAAAAAAGAAAATAAACTTAAATAAAATTCACTTTGCCTTGTTCATGGCCTTGTCTTCCCTGTTCAATATGCTCTCATGAAGAAATAATGTTTCCTTCATTGCTTCCTGCACAAGGTAGCGAGTCAAGTGCAGGGTGTAGCCTCAAGCCTAAATGGTCTTTGTGTGTAGACGTTTTATTGCAACCAAGATAGTCTAAGACAGGTTTACAGAACTCCTTTTAAAGGCCTTTAAGAGCTGTACTTTTGTTAATGCCTTGGGCAAATGGATCCAAAGGTGTTCAAAAAATATATATCTTGTGTTCTGAGCTTGTATGGATGGCCTTGAGAGAAAGAAAAAATGGAGTGTCATTTGAAAGAAGTTTAGAAATCAGTGTGCGAATCAAATAGGTCAGGTAAGAAGACGTTGGTGTAGGTCTAAGATTCCCAACCAGGTCTACTTCAGAGTTTCATTAAAGATAAAGATAAACTTTATTGATCCCCGTGGGGGAAATTTGTGCATTACAGCAGCTCCAGAAAACAGGGGATGGGAATATACTTGTAAAAAAAAAAAAATAGCCATGAGAAACGTCCGTCATTGGCGTAGTCCTGTGCAATTGGCTGGGTGTAGAGACGTCACAATAGAGGCAGACACCTCCTTTTAACTCAGGCTTTTATTGGCTGGGAACAGTGAATGGAAGCTTGTAATTGGCCAAATTAGGTGCCATATGAAAAGTTCTAAGTGTAGTCGCCATGTTGACGTCTCGTAACCCAAGAAAATTAATGAATTTATCAAAATGCTACATACTTTCTACCGATGTATGGACGGATCTGCGCAAAAAGTTTTTCTCTAGGCTGGGGGTGGAGTCCATGGGTGGAGATACCAGGGGAGGGGAGGGGATTTTTTTTTTTACCAGAATCCCACTGACGTCACAAGGAGACCACATTTGAAACGAAGCATTTTTCTCTGTGTTGTAAGACTTATGCAGACCACAAACAAAGCACTGGATGGGTTTATTTCACATTTTGTGGGTTGGTAGACACTCAGGTTACCCAAATATATGTTCAAAAACACTGTCAAAGTGGATTTTTCATATATATGCCCCCTTTAAAGAGAAACAATTTAAAAATCTATTTCCTCTATCTATTGTCTTTTTCTATTTTATATCCTTGTTTTGCTTTCTCAGGGGGAAGATATGGAGCTGCAGCATCAAACACTTGGCTCCAAAATGACCATATAGAAGGAGTTTTACAACTTTGTGATGTCACAAAATCTTAAGGGTAGAAAAAACTGTCTGAAACCCAACGTTTTTAGAGCAACCTGCAGACTGAGCTCTGGATTACTCGGACATAAATTAACCTACTGAATGGAATCTTTGCCCATTTTTAGTATGAACACCTAACATTGTAGCATTAAATGAACGTCTTAAAAGATGAAACAGCATAATAGCTACCTTTTATGGAAATGAGGCAGATCTGATTTAAACCTGGCATATTGTGGTCTGCATGCAAAATTAATTAATCTATAGAACAGTTCAGTTGTTTTAAAGGATTTAAGTGATCTACTTTTTGCTAGAGTATTTATGTCCATTTAACAGGGCTTTAGGGGGGCATTAGACAATAGGTAGGGAAATAGCTTTTGTCTAAGCCTTTTGTTTCATCTTGAATATGAACATGAACCATGTTAAGAGCCCAGAAAGAGCTCCAAATGCCAGGGAGGGGCTTTGAGAGATAGCAGCCATAACACCAGTCATTGTTTTCCTAGGAGGGTCTTACCGAGAAAGGACTGTTGAGTGTTGCTCCGATCAGCCTCTGCCAAGCCTGGAGCCTGTCACACATAAGACACACAAATGACCGCCAACCAGGAGCCTATCACACGCTAAACAAAAGGGGCCACATTCCTTACGTATTCCCACACGAGGTTACATCCTGCAGCAGGGGAAGAATGGGATGCTGGGAAATCCACAGGGGATCGGCAGAGAACGACACTTCCTCTGCCGAAGGTCTTATCAGCTCTGTTTGTGTTTTTTCTCTCCGTCTTCATCTTCGCTGTCTTCATCTTTCAATCCATCTCTACCTCCCACTCTGCAAGCTTTCCACTCTCCTGATCTCTCCCATTGGAATTGAGAGGCTTGATTTGAAGCTTTGGTATATTTACTTATTTTGGAGCTTGCAGAAGGAACTATAGTTTACAAATGCAGATTTCAGTGAGTGACAGGAAGGGGGACATAAATGACAAGTATCAGAACTAAAAAAAACAATGTTTTTGTCTTTAAGCCTTGGCGTTATACCATGGTCGCAGCAGAAAGGGAAGACTGTGAGCCGGTTTCAATAAAGGAGTGAAGGGGTAGAAGACAGAGAGTGGAGGAGGAGGAGGAGGAGGAGGGAGAAGGTTAGAAAGGGCCCTCTAGCCTTATATGGGAATTCATACTGCTTCTCTTGTGGCACGGTCTAAAAGTTGGAGATGTTTCAGTAGAAACCACTGTGCTACAGTATAACGGTATGGGAAAAAATCCATGCAACAGCTCAACTTTTTGACTCAAATCAATAAAGCGGTTCAAAATAAGGAGAGACGCAAACGTTACACAACTGCAGAAATACATCAGAAATGTACAGTACATGCAGCATCAGATTCCTGGAGACAGAGATGTGGAGTTGCTGGATTTGGATGATGGAGATGAGGGTAATGCAGGGTGATGGAGGGAGGGAAACATCTGGAGGGGAGGGGGAGAGAGACTCAGGTGGGATCAGTCTAGCCCTTAGAGAGGACTTGACTCCCTTGAGGAAACAAGAACACACACACAGACGGATACATTTCCCTGCATCTTGTAGTTTTAGCGACGCCATGATTTGTCTCCCCATCTTTCCCCCTTTTTTGCAGATACACCGGAGGCTCCTTCAAAGCTTCTTCTCTGTCTTTTCCTTTCCTAACATTATGAAATAAACTCTATACTACAGTATAACCTTGGGTTTCAATCAGCTATCCACTTGGCACAGGCATGCAACACTCACCGCACCGCCATGGTGACATGTTTTAGTTAGCGCTGTGACATATTTTTCTTCCTGCACAGTGCTTTTCTCTCTCTGTACCTGTCATGGATGTAGCTGCCAGAGGGCTGCCTTACTGTAAATGGCCGGAGCAGGGAAAGGCAGGAGTAATAAGGAACTGGGCGATTATGTAGACACACATAAGTAACACAGAACTAAACACACACTCTTCGTATTCCCATGTCTACTCCCGTCCATCCATTTGGTTCCTGCCATCGACAGCAGGTAGATCCACCAATTCTGCCTGGAGAATCTTTTGATTAATGACACGCCTGTCATGTCTAAACCTCCTTCATCTTTTTCCTGACGAGAGGCTCTCTTTCCCGTGCTAAACCCCCCCCCCTCACCCAGCAGTAGGCAAACATGCTACACCAAAATCCCCCGGGGCCAGGTGCAGAACATAGCAAGGAGTATTGCCCGGCTTCCCTGATCCAGTGCTTCATTCATCTGTGCAGCCTCTGGAGGCCTGGAAAACACAATCCCCTATCCTTTTACGTTGAGATTACAGATATATATGAATGTACGAGGGCTTCCCCCTACACGTTGACAATTCGAATAATCTGCCATGAACGCAATTTTACTTAAAAAATGCTGTATGTACAGTATATTTAGAAAAACATCTACATGTATAAGAATGCATGTGTTTAAACCAAGCAAATGTATCTTGCACAACAGCAAGCAAATCAGTTTTTCTACAATGCTCTTCAGCGGACACAGGCATCAGAAAGGGAAAGATGCTAGCTTATGTGTCAGTGCTAGGCTTGTATTTAGGCAATGGTGGGCAGTAACCAAGTAAATTGACTTTACTGTAGTCCTTAAAGGGATACTTCACCCATTTGCATTAAGCTTTGTATCATTAGAAACCTGGTAGTATTTTGAATGGTCGTGCATCCCGCCCTCATTTTCCCCTGAGTTGGGAAATCTTTGTATTTCTAAGTCTGAAAAGGAGCTTCCAGTGATGCAAAATTACGATTTTTGCGTCACTGGAAGCTGTTGCGGTTAGTCGGGTGAAACTACAACGCTAGTTCCTCATATTTTCGACCACTGAAGCTACAGAGAAACTGTATCCATCGAATTTCCCTCCGGGATTAATAAAGTATTTCTGATTCTGAACTAGAGGACCTTAGTGGGAGTGGCCTGCTGTGCTGTGCATTCTGGGATTTGGTGTCTTTCATCAACATGAGCCAAAAAGACACTTTTTGCCTTTTCACGGCCAAGAAGGCACCAACTTCAAAATGTATTTCACATTTCTACATATATGACCAAATGTCCATACAGATTCATGTTTCAACGGGTGAAGTATCCCTTTAAGAATTTTTTTTGAGTGTCTTTACCTTACTTGAGTATTACTTTTTTGGGGAAACATATTACTTTTACTCCACTACATTTGCAAGACAAATATTGCACTCTTGACTCTGATACGTTTCTATGAATGTTCTCGTTATTTGTTACTCTTGCTTTGAGGGAAGTCAGCTGATGAATTTTCTATTCTATTAAAAAATCTGGTCTGAAAGAAAATAATCTGTGTTGGTGTAGTTCTGCATGTGGTTTGTCTAAGTAGTGTTGCAGTCCCTGTACGTCGTGAGTTAACATAGTTGAACGCAGAGCAAATGCAGAGCAAACGTCACTCGGATCAGGCTGTTCATTTAACACAGATAATTTGTCACAGAGGCCCTTTTCTTTTTTAACATGTTTTAGGATATGTTGGGTGATAACTCTTTCCCAATGTAAGCGTATGGGAAAAAGTATTTTTGGGCCCAATGGCATCACATCACGCTGCAACACCAGGTTCGTCCTCCACGTAAAATTGGCATCAACGTCAACGAACAGCACACTTCCAGGGGGCTAGCTGAACGGCTACTAGCGTGTTTGTTGCTTTGTAGGATTTCTTTAGTGTTAATCATTCACTATATGATTTTAACAGGAGAGAATCACCTCCTCTCCTAGACAAATGGACCATGTGATAAAAACATGTAATATCGCTGAGTTTTGCAGTCTCATGTCAATCTCAGTTTCCTC